AGAACCGGTGTGCGTGGTGACCCCCCTTTTTTTTTTTTCTTATTAATGTGGAGACTTGAGATGCATGTGTTTTGTTGCCTTTAATAAAGTTAAGTTGTTGCTGCAATTAATAAAGTTTTTCTAAGGTTAAAAAGGACCTAGTGGAGAAACAGACCACAACGTGTTTCCCAGCATGAATAAATTTACAGTAGTTCACGGCAGGAGGGGCTGTTAGAGAAATACTGTGAGACATTTTGACCATGCTGCTAATGGTAACAGGGCCATTAAACTTCCCAGCCCCGCCTACTAATCTCAGTTAATCACTAAGAAGAAGGAAAGGGAGATACTTTCACAATGAGATGATGACAGAAATTTCAAAGGGAACTACAAAATACTAAAATATGGAATAATTCATCTAGAATAACACAAACGCTTAAGTTATCTTAACTGAAATATCCATACCATTATATAAAAATTTGGTCCAGCCTGATCATTAATAGAACATGTGTGGCTCATGCATTTATTAATTGATGAATTCAGCAAACATTAATCAAATGCCTATTATGTTCAATGGATACATTAGACACCACAGAGGGTGTATTTTTTGCTTTAAAAATGTAGAGCATTTGTTAATACAATACTTAGATGGTGAAATAGTAAAAGGGGAAGTTTTTAAAGAAAGCCCACCTTATGAATGAATGAAATCTCGGCAGCTCTTTCTTACTGAAATTAAAATGTTACCAGTTGCAAATTAATGGAATAGTCATAGTTACTGGGAATCATTGGTTTAGAATGATGAAACAAACACACAAGACCATACAATACTCTTATGAATTACTCTTGGACTTAGTTAAGAGTTTCATACAAAAAAAAGTGAAGCTGAACTCTGTGAAACTGTGATGTAATTAAACACAATAGATATATTTTAAAAGTCTGCAAAGGGCAAGACCTGAAAGAAAAGCCAACCAACCACAAATCCAAGCTCTAAACAATACATCTATCTAACTTAAAGATAGTAGCTTATTTTCTGATTCCTGTAGTATGGACTTTCAGAAATAATTTATATCCAACCACCTAGTGTCAATCTACTGCTCAATCCAACTTCTCTTTAAAGAGCCCAAACTAGGAAACCATGATGAAGAAAAGTAACATAGGACTAAACCCCCAACCGAAGCTTCCCATTCTGATCTCAAATCTCTAGATATTTTGCAAAACTTTTTAAAATTCCAGTGTTAGTGAATAAGAAACCAGAACATGATGCAAAACTCCTGAACAAGAGAAAGTGAGAAAGTGGGGTTAAAGAAAATCAAACATGTCCTCAAAGGGACATGTAAGTATTTGCTTCACAAAAGCCAATAGGGAAGCTCTAGGCTGACCCAAGACTCAAGGGGCAGATGGCAGGACAGAGTGGAGCCCCACTTCAGCTGAGCCACGGGGGCCACTGGTTAAGAAAACTGAGTAGATGCGACAGATCCTGTCGCTACGCTCTCACTGTGGACACAGCATCCAGTAAGAGTTGGAGCCACTCCCAAATGGAAGCAGTGAGTGCAGGAAGCTCACCAGAGAAAATCAGCAGTGCTTGGGACTGTTGACACCCTGGGGATACGGTGAACCCCAACACGGAAAAGGGTGTTTCAGTCATAGAAAAACTCAATCACTAGAGACTGTGGAAATTCAAAGTTGATTGTTGGAAGGGAGAAACTCAGTATCTGGAGAAACAGCTGAAGGACAAAGCATGAGTAAACCAATGTTCCCATCATGTCACACAAAAGGACAAACAGATGGGAAACACTACCGAAGGCTGAGACGTATGGAGGGTGGAGTCGGAAGTGTAAACGTCCATCTACATAAATTAGAAAATCCTTCCAGAACTTCAGACATAAACCCTCACACTGAAAGAGTATGCTGCATATCAAACAGAACTTTACAAAATCTTTTTTAGAATAAAAACACACACCTAGTTACATGATGGTGAAAATTTCAGAATAACATGGAAAAGGAGAAAATCCTCAAAGCTTCTGGAAGGAAAAGAAAAGCATAGGTGACCTGTCAAGAAGTAAGCGTAAGACTGGCCTCAAGCTTCTTATCTGCAACACTGAATACAAAGAGAACACGGTACCACATCTGCAAAGTTCTAAAAGGAATTTGTTTGAATCTAGAATTTTATACTTAGCCAATTCCATTGAGAAGAAAATATACAGTCTTGAGTTTCCACCAGGCGAGGACTTGAAGATTTTTTTTTAATTTCTCTGAACGAAATATTAGAGGCTACACGCCAGCAAAAAGAAAAGCTGCTCCAAAAGGTAGTAGGGTACAAGAGTTTAATGGCATGCAAAGACATAGTAAATCTTCATAAAAGTCAAGTAACAATCTAAAAATAAAATCCTATTTGACAACAATCTGAGAGATGGGACGAGAAAGTAAAGAGAAATAAAGGTATCTTTTCCTGTCTTGTTGGGTGTTATCTCTAGATGCTTACAAGAAAAAATACGTTTTGATAGGGGCGGTGAATATTGGGGCATTATATATTTACAAAAAAACAAAAACATAATGTATAGCTTTCAAACAAATTAAGAAAAAATAAAATAAAAAACACTATCAATGGAAGAAAGGGAAAACACTGTAGAAAAATAGGCAAAGGATGATTCATCAAGGAATAGACACAATGTCCCGTAAACACAGAAGAAACTCAACAGTCATCAGGAAAATGCAAACCAGAAAGCAATGACCTACCAGTTTTTAGACAAGCAAAAAAGTAAAAAGTTTGCTAATATCAAGGCATGCCTTGCTGGAGTGGCTATAATTTGGTACAACTGCTTTTTAATGTGCAAACCATAGAAGCCAAAACTTCTGCTTCGGGTTCTGGATCCCAGAAAAACCTTTTCATCTGTACACAGTACAAAGAGCAAAGAGTAAAGATACTCGTCGAAACGTTTCTGGAGTGACGAAAAATGAGAAATAAGCTAAATGCCCAACAATGTGGAAATTTTAATGTAATTGAGATATATTCCACCATGAATACTGTGCGATGATTCAAAAGAGTATTACAGATCTCTAACCACTAACCTGAAAACAAGAAAAACACAAGCTTTATGTGTAATGCAGGTTATTTTTACAACAAAATGTATCAACCTTATTTGGCAATTATTAATAAGTAAAAAAAAAAAGTTTGGACAGAAAGAAAAATTAACAAACAACAAACCAATTTAAGAATACAAAAGTGGTAGAGAAATGATTTTACAAGGTAGCTTTAGCATCGTTGACACTGAAATTAATTGTGAATGTTACCATGAACGCAGTGGTCCTAATGGAGCCATCAAACATATGCCTCCCAAATCATGACAGTGAATTCAAAAGCCCCTAAGACACACAGTTGACTAATTTGTAGGAAACAAATAAAAACTTACTGAAAACTGACAAACTGACCAGGAAAAATGAGGACCAGTTCCCTCTTACCCTTACCCTCCCCCAATCATAATAGTCTATCAATAACCCTATAGATTCAGCGCATTACCAAAAGCTGTCAAGACAAGTTGGCCAAAAATTAAAATTATTAAAAAAAAAAAACTCAAAGAACTGGCTCCAGGCAAGGGCAAAGCAGACGTCTATTAAGAGGCCATTTGTGAACTAAGAGCAGGACTTAGATGCGCTTTCTTTCTTCCTCTCAGTGGTTGCTGAACCAATGTGGTCACAACAGCCATGTGGACTTGGGAGCCAGCCAAGAGGCCAGGTGACTCAACACTGAATTTCTTGTCCCTCCAGGCGATTTCTCTCAGCGGTGCAAATTTATACCAGAACAGAGCACAGCTGCCCTCTTCTCAATCGGGAGGAGATATATATTAAAGGTTGGGTTTGTTTAAGTGTTGGCTAGCAAAGAAAGCTCAGGGAAGCTGTCAAGAGAACAAAGCCTGGTTCCCCTATGATAAAGCCCAAGGGCTCTGGGAGAGAAGAATCTATGGGAAGGGTAACTGCTGTCTTGTAAGCCCCTTCAGGGTAAGAAACAAATACTTCTCTTTCCTTTTATTACATTCTCTTTAAAAATGAACAACAGCTATATTTTCCTTCAAGAAAAATTGACCCCAAACAGCACGGTCTTCTGAAAACAAAGAATCGAATGTTCGTGGTTCATATACAGATTCCTGACAGACAGGAATCAGGTGCTACATGGCTTTCTGCTCTGTCACCAGCCACTCGGCCAGAAGATCAAATATAACTGTGAGCTAACTAACTGGCTGGACGACGCATATGTGAGTATTTGAGGAGGTACATCACAGAAGTCCTTAGCAGGAAAATCCTAACCAGAACATTTGGGTTTTCCTTCCTTGCAAATAGACTGGCACTCACAGAAAGATGGGACTTTGTCATAAGGTGCCCCTTTAAATTCTGGAGTTGTAAATGCTGAGGAGGAGTGGGGGCAAGATGAAGGAGGAGCCTGGAAGCCCAAACATGGGAAAAGCAGGTATAAGGGCAGATTCGTGGTGCCCCATCAAGAGACACAGACATCTGGCAGCAAGACAAGTGTAAGGGAATGTGCTGGATTGATCTGCATTTTCTTGTACTGGGATGACACTTCATCACCACGAGATCTTTCCCTCTCCACGGCCTGGGTAAGTAAATACGTAGCCAATCAAGTATTACACTCTTAGCAGATAGTTTTTGGATGGATGGATGGATGGATGGATGGATGGATGGATGGATGGATAGATGGATGGATAGATGAATAGATGGATGCATGAACAGACAAACGAACAAAGAAACAAAGGAATCAACAGTGTACTTTTTCTCCATGCACTTTAAAGCCATCCACTCAGAATTAATATTCTACTTGCAAAGAATATTCAGCAAAGTTGTTCCCAGCTGATTTCTCCACACTGCATACAAATGTTGCCCAGCTCACCAGAGACCTCAACAGCATACTATATAAAATCTGGGTAGTGATAATCCTCCCAGACTCTCTACCACACCAAGGCAATTAGAATAATTAATAGCAAGTAGAATTCATTGATTCGAAAGTAAATTACCACAATTGGGTATCTGCAGGTTTGCCAGGGGAATATTCTTGCTGCTTTCATTTAGGCAGTACAAATCCTGAGTTTCTGGGCTGGATTTAGTCTCCTGAAGAGTCTTGATCCACATAATGTCACAGGAGCATGTAAATGGATTGCCCACCAGGATCCTACACAGAACAAAAATGAAACCAGATCAGGCTTCTCTTTTTTTGTTTTAACTACCCTAGTGTTTATGAAGCACTACAACATTATGAATTCTTTCTGACCCACAATCTTTGGAAGTCATACCCACCTGCGCAGTTTCACAACACTTATTCATTCATTTAGCTAATACTTACTGGTCTTCTGCTAGGCGCAAACACCCCCATGGACTCTAAAGGATGCAAAGTAACGCAAAACCTTTCAGAGTAATAGGGAAACAAGACAGGGACAGAAAGAGCTATAATGTAGGATAAGAATGGATGTCTCATAGGATGGGGAAAAATAAGATGCCATAACAAATTTATCACAGCTATTATATAGTAAGTGAGATCTTAAGTCAAGATGCCAATAGTTAACAGTTGTCAGGAATGCTAACACACTTATTTCTGACCTGGCTACAGATTCGAGTGTTATTATTTAATGAGCTCAAACTACAGTGGGGAGCACAGCAATTTCATCTTACTTTAAAATGAGACTGTAGGGGCGCCTGGGTGGCGCAGTCGGTTAAGCGTCCGACTTCAGCCAGGTCACGATCTCGCGGTCCATGAGTTCGAGCCCCGCGTCAGGCTCTGGGCTGATGGCTCAGAGCCTGGAGCCTGTTTCCGATTCTGTGTCTCCCTCTCTCTCTGCCCCTCCCCCCTTCATGCTCTGTCTCTCTCTGTCCCCAAAATAAATAAACGTTGAAAAAATAAAAATAAAAAATAAAATAAATAAAAAAAAATAAAATGAGACTGTAAATACAAAGCTAAGATTAAAATGTTAGAGCCGGGAGGGTGGCGCCCCCAGCTTTCTGCATGATGCAACCACAGGTCAGCCGAACGGATGCCAAGAAGTTGGAGTAAATGTGACCAACAGCCTGGAAGGGACTCTTAAACCTCCTACACATACACACACACACACACACACACACACACACACGCACACATTCACGCATGCACACTCACGCATGCGCACACACACCAAGTTCAGGGTTTCTGACAGCAAGGGCAAGTGAGCTCCAGACTGAGCCACTCAGCCCACTGTGGGACGGTCTGCATAGAGAAAACCACCACTCAGCCGAGCTGCCTGGACTCCCGTGGCCTACGAAGGGTAACAGAGGAAGTAGTCAAGAGGAAAATAAAAACCACAAGAAAAAAATCTTTAAATGTTTATTTATAATACTCAGTGGCCTATTTAAGATGAATTCCATTTATGGTAATGAGCCTTTAAATGAGGCCATTTACAATCGTTACATAGGCTCTGCCTGGCATTAGCCACAATACTTTAGATTTCCTTGAGGACAGGACCTAGGCTTTGCAACATCATTTATTCCTGTGGTTTTCTGGTTGGGTTCTAAGAATCTCCGGGATCCCTAGAGACTCTTCCAGGAGTTTCTTTGGGGAAAATGTGGTCATGGCAGACTCAATTAATTTGTTTCCGCTTGATCGCCTCCAAGTATCCTTCCATCACCACAATACGATTTGATGCTACTAGAGACAGACTACAATGGGAAGACATCCACAATGCTTAAACTTCAACTAATCCAAGAGGCTTCCTGGCGCTCGAAGTACGTGAAAAACTCAAGAATCTTTCAAAAAAAGAAGGTACAACTAAATCCACAGAAGGGCTAAAGAAGTGAAGGATCTTCAGTTGTAACTATTGCAACGATCAATGACCACACAACGCTGGCAGACAGCTGGGGTTCAATTCTTCAGTCCCCATGCAAACCCCTCTTCCAGAGACTGTCAGAGCACATTACACTCATTCACTTAGGCTTCCATGTCTCCCACTAGAGAGCAGAATCCTGGAACACAGAAACTTCTCCCTACATCCCAGTCCAATATGCAACCAGGCCCACAATTAACATGTGTTTCGAGAACTGATTAAATATGCTGCAGGGAGAAAACAGAAATGTGTGAATTTGAAATCAGTGCTCTGATTTTTGACCCGTTGAGGAAATTTCCTGCAGTGATGCTCAAAATGTTCACACTGAGCATCTCATTCCATTTCACATCTTCCTTAAATTGTATGTGCCTATTCCTATGTGAGAAAGCTTACCACTTCAACTCCGCAAACTCAGTGTATTCCAATGACTGCCCATCGTTGATACGGGGCACCAGGCAACCCTCCTTATAACCCACTGATTTGTCTCTGCACTAATGGCATCTTCTCTCTGCATGTTTTCCTTGTGAATAGGGGCGGATCCTACAACCCAGGCAATATATACAGTCTGAACCAAAGCGACTGCCTGGGATTCAAAGGCCTCGTCCATCCGGCAACCACACCTCTGACACACAGAGCCTCTGCTTTGGGATGTTCTAGGCAACCTCCCCATAGGAATGTCAACAGTTTATATGTGTTTCATGGTGATAATACAAGAATTGATCACACCTGGAAATGCCAGCCAGTAGACATCAACACATTACAATCTTTTTCCTATCATTTTACAGCCAAGGAAATTAGAGAATAAGGGTATATACTGAGTGCAGTAGCAGACCTAGAAGGCAATGTCGCAAGGATGGGCAGGGAGGGCAAAGGACGACCTCTCCACCAACGTTCACTAAACACCAGCGGGCACTGTGGTCGCGGATAAAAGCTGGAGAATGTTGTGCCCATGGCTATTTCCCCCTTGGATGGGTTTGCTTGCCATTAGGTCCTGGACATAACAAGGACCAAACATGTCGCCATTATGACACAAAGCATCCCCCGCCCGCCCACTCTCATCTTTTTCTGTTTTCCCTCCTTTAGGAAACAAATCTTTATGTAAAAACATTTAAACTCATCATAAATGATACCTTACTACTGAGATTGCTGGGTTAATTTGTTACTGAATCATGTTTTTTATGAGGGAATAAAAACACAAGTGGCCAAAACCTGAGAAATCGTTTTCTCAAGAATTTTGATATAAAAATGCATCTGCAGCATCACTCATTAAAAAAAAAAATACTTAATTACTCTCTCCCCTGAAACTGTTACCAAATGACACACAATAATCATTACTTACAGTTCAGACAAATCAAGGTGACGAAAATGTTTCCTAGACAAGCTGGTCAGTTTATTTCGGGTAAAATTGCTGAAAGAAACCAAAAACATTAAATGTGAATTTGAAACGTTACATCTCAAGAATAAAATATGCAAGTTGAAAAACATATGTGTTTTTCAAAATATAATTTCATTTAACCGTGGTTCATTTGACCATGGCTCAACCATAATCTCTTTCTTCCATCTGGAATGACAATTTAAATTTTCCTGCCTCTCCTATAATTCTTGTTCATAAGGGGAGGAGAAGGATGGGAATACTTTCCAATGCGTCTTTTTAATCTCTTTCTTAACAAAAAGTTTATTTTTCATATGCTGATTCAGAGCCAAGTTATACGCTTCCTAGAGATCTCTGACCTCTTAAACAATTAATAGGAGGAATAAACTTAATTTGATTTAAAACCATGAAACTCACTAGGGGAAAAGATACTTTAAAATTAAACAGCATCATGAGTATTTTGAAATTACAAGACACATAAATATTTAACTGAAATTAACACATCCTTATAGGGAAGAATACACACTGATAAACTCTGATTGATTGATTAACTCTGCTGATTGTTTATACATGATTTCTAAATAACCCGATAATTCCAAGATAAGGACAGTAACAAAAAAAATCACATAACAAGGAATATGTTAGATTTCATCTGACACTATTCTAGCACCACATCATTTTAAGATTTGGACAAACCAGACAATGAGAAGTCCATGAAACCAAGTCATAAATACTAATGAATTTACTGACGTATTCCAAATATGTAATTTCACTCAATGGCAGGAGTTTCCGTTTCCAGCGATCAGTGCCATGAGGCCCTGAGTGGGGAAATTCAGAGCCATAATCCCAGCAACTGACTCGCTCTGTGGATTTGCTTACTGGTTGAATTTATTTAAAAAGTGTCTAATGCTTGGGTCTCCAGACATGTGCCTAATAACTAACAGGAATGTAAAATAAACATCAACTTTTACAAAAACAGCCAAGCCCCCAACAAATTACAACGAGACTTTCAGTATCTGTTTCCTGCTCAGGAAAGGAATCGCTGGGCTGAGAGGTAAGAACAAGGGACCTGAGGGTGACAGTTGTCCCGACCCTTTACCTGAGGCTAGACTACTGTGTCAGCCCAACAAAATCATCGGTTGACCAGACATCCTGCTATGTCTGCCCAGCCACCTTCACAGAGGGGTTCTAACCCAGGAGCTAATGTATAGAGCCAACGCTGGTCAATTGAAGGAATACAGAAAACACCGCTTCAGGGTCTCCTGTTTCAAGAATGCGTGTGTCCTCTCCCGACTTCGTTCTATATTGAGATTTCCACTCATCCAAACCCCTACCTACACAGGGTTCCCTCTTCTTCCTATGCTTACTTCTTCTGTCTTTATACTGTGTGTAAAGTGCTCACCCACATGAAAAAAATAATTCACCGGGAAGTTGTAAAATGTGCCCACATACATCTTTTTCTCTTTTCTTTTGGAACGTGAATTAAGAATGAGTTTCCCTGGAGTATCATACACTGAGAAGTCAGTCTGTCTGTGTTCTCTCCAGTCTTTGAGACACAAATGTTTCCATCTTCAGAAATCCCTACCCTCTGAAGGAAAAACAAAACAGCAACAAACAAAAAACAAGCAAGCAAACAAACACATCCATGACTCTTCTTCCCAAGAACCAGGAGAGGGGGGAGCAGAGAAAGAGGACACTATGGTCAAGGTCTCGGTCAGCTACAAAGACAGCACCGGGAGCAGCTGGCCCTGTCGGGCTGCCAGCAGCACAGCCCAGAGTGGGGTCATACGCCAAAGAACAAGATGAGTTTTATGAACCATACTTATTATTGAGGCAAAAGCCAAAAAAGAGGAGGAGGGGAGGGAAAAAAATCAACAATCCTCTTACTGTTTGATGACAGAACATTGCGAAGGAGCTAATTAGCACCTCGGCAAAGTCCCTGGAAAATACACAGGCTGTCTTTTCTCACAACCCCTGGGTTCTCAGAGGCTGGGGAGGAATTAAAGGCACCAAGAAATAAACTCAGTGACCGGTCATAGAGGCTGCGGACAGTCACCACATGATGCTGCATATGCCCAGGGCAGAGGGAGGGGTGGTGAGACAGGATCCAATCTGAACCCCCCTAAAACCCGAAGTCAAATAGATTGCTCTTGTGTACATTTTTACGTTGTTGGGGAGACTCAGAGATAATCGGTATATCCCTGGAGTAAAGAGAAATGCGTTTCGTTCTCAGCTCCCTGGTACCCAAGGTTATATTCAGAGAAATCGCAGAAAATCAGATAAAACAAGGCAGTGCCTGAGTCCTCAGTCATAAGGACAGGTTGGGACTGAGGTCTGCAAAGGCAGACACCTCATTTGCTTCCTCCTCCCTCCCTGCCATTCTCAAAGCCAACCAGTGAATTTAATATTTGGGTGAGTAGGAGCCTCTCTCATCCATGAACACTGTATACGAAGCTTCCCGGCATCACCGAATGTCTGAATATTGTCTAACTTCATTCTCTCTTAATACCTGACCGTGCCTACAAATGGCAAGGGAGTTTTTGCAGCTTCACCAGTGACTTGGCTTCCTGGCTACTGCCTTTTAAAGATACTATATAAGATATGTCCAGCTCTTTGGTTTTCTGCTCTCAAAGGACACGTCTTTGGGAAACAGAGATAGATAGCTGGTTTTAGAGAAGCTGTCTGCAGCACATAGAATGCCATTCAAATTGTTCTACCATATAATCACCCTGAAAACATACATCAAGTGGCTTTGGTTTTCGTAAAAATGGCATGCAACAGGCAAGCAGAGAAAGTAGAAGAGGTAGAGTAAGCCCTCTTGCGATTAAATCCCCTCATCAATAAATAAGTTTATTACTAAAACTGCAATTAACCGTAGCCCAATGCCCAAATCACATCGTTAGGGGAAGTGATGGGGTGAAAATAAAATGTGGCTGAGAGAGTAATCCAGGTGTAGTGTCAGCTGTAAATACCAGAACTTAAGCCCCTGAAGTCATTAATTACATCTAAGTGATGGCTTTGGAGCATTTTGACTTTTGTTTCTGTCCAAGTTCTCTCGTTTTTGCTCTCGAGACCTATGCAGACATCAGATTTGTGCAGGCAACCCAACCACAGAGATGATGCCAAAAAGGCATTTAAGTGAAATGTGTTAATCAAGTTCCTTGGAGTTGTACCACATTTTTGCTGAATGTTGTATATCTTAGTTCTACAGACTTTATTTTCAAATCGACTTCATCATTAACGCCACCTATAAAATATGAAGTCATGATACTGGCTTTACGAAATTCATGTTTTTCATAAAACCCACAAATCTCCAGGGAGTGTCCAGGCAATCTGCTGCTAAAGAATGATCTCTTTTGTAACTGGTATGGAAATCAGTTGGGGAACTGTTCTCTTCAAGGAAAGAAAGAGGAAAAATATCCTAAGAAGACTGATTCTCTAATTATACGGATGGTAGAAATTTTATTTCCTGTGCTCTTGTTGTAGGAGCACGGTCAGGATGAGCCCTGGAGTCACAATTCTGTCACTTTCCATCCTGTGGGCTGGAGAAAATCCTAGAACTTCCTCAGTGTGATTTCATGTCCATGAACAGGAACCAAAAAGATCTTCCCTACCGATTGTCAGAAAAACCAAGCGAGATATCATGGGAGAGAGTTCCATAGGTAAGCTGTAGATGATGAGACACAAAAGCACGGTCGCAGAGAATGTGCAAAGCACAAAAAGACCAAAGAATGCCGGCCAACGAATTCCTCCAGCAGACACTCACTCCCCTTAACACTCGGCGCACAGGGAGCACCAACCTGAGCTTAGGGGGAGGTAATCCTCTGTTGAATGAAGAAACCTCTCCAGGCGCCTGCGTGGCTTAGTCAGTTAAGCGTCTGGCTCTTACTTCGACTCAGATCATGATCTCATGGTTTGTGAGATCGAGCCCCATGTCCCTGCTTGGGATTCTCTCTCTCCCCCCTCTCTCTCTACCCCTTCTCCACTCATTCTACCTCACTCTCACTCTCTCTCTCTTTCTCAAAATAAATAAATAAATAAATAAATAAACAAACAAACAAACTTAAAAAAAAGAAAAACAATGAAGAACCCTCTCAGGAAGGCCATCCCTTATGGATTGCATGCTACCCTCTAACAGGACTTAACAGCGGACAACCTGAGAGCTTCCATTGTCCCTATTTCCGTCTGACCTCGGTTGACAAAGCATCAACGTGACTTCAGTGAGGCACTTGCTGTTTTGCAATTATCTGAACCTTTGGCATGTCCCATGATTGATTTTTCTCCGCTTTTACCAATCACAACAGATAGCTTTGAGAAAATGAACTTTCAAAAGAGGATCTCCGGGGGGTGGGGGTGGGAGTGGGGGCACTGGCAATTTTTAGTTCCCTAAAAAGGCCGAGGCCAAGTCAGTTTCTTTCAATTCCATTAGTTTGATGTCTTCCAGGGAACACGTAATGATTCCCAGGAAAAGAATCAAGGACCTTGTACCAGGACATAGTTTTCACATCAGACTCTGCTGTTGGCCTACTGCTCCATCTAAAATGGAAATAGCCCAGAAATCCATGAAAGGGAATACACAGGCTGTTCTAAGTACCTTTCTAAAGCTACTCAAAAATCAAAGCTAACATTTCTAAGCTATTGTCACACCTATACTAACTTTTAAGAAAGGAAGTTCACAGTTGCAAAAGAAGAAAACAGAGGGCAAAAATATTGAATGCATTGGGTCCTGGGAAGCAAAAGCATCAACCTTTACTTACATGTGCTGTAAGTTGCTGTTTTTCAGAAACGCTTTATGAGCCACAAATTTTAATCCAGAATCCACAATTGTCCTAAGAAAACACACAGTTGCACGTACGTTAGAACGAATGGGTGAATGAGTGCCTGACTGTAACACAGCATAAGAAAAGGTATAGGTATGCAAGCATAAGGTATGCAAGTCCTGAGTACTCACAGATTTTTCAGTCCTGCGTAAGCTTCAACATCATCTTCGTTGATGATTTCCAACCTTTTCTGATTGGCAATGTAACTGCAAAAAGAGCAGAGAGTGAAAACCAGTCACCCAGAAGACAGTACACGAAAGAATGGGTAACCTCATCCCGCCTCACCAAGGTGGCGACCCCTCTCCTCCCACCGCAGCCCCACCCTTTTTCTTAAAATACAACAAAGGGAGAAAAACTGAATGTGGCTAAGAAACCATGATTGATCAGGTTTCAAGGTCAATTACAGATTCACCAAGTTTCATTTTTTTCTTAATCTTGTATCACTCTTTCAACTCACAAGTCGAATCTGCCTCCCCTTTCAAGGTACCCCCTGTGTCGAGAGATGAAAATAATTTGGACATGTATCTGCTGCCTCTGAAAAGTGTTTCGTCCTTATGGTGACAGCCACAGGGATGCTGGCATCGTCACACGCAAGACAAATCACATCTTTCCCCACATGCCAAGAGAACCAGTCACTCCTTTTTACTTCCTAAAACACTGAAGCAGATTCTCTTCCCCGTTCTCCTTCCTCCTCTGCTCCCTTCCTTTCTCCCCACTCTCTCTTTTCCTGGCCTAGGATCCCCTTTGTCTATCTGTCAGTAGCAATACCAATTTCTCTTTTTGGGAACCACATTTCATAAAGCCCCACCACATGGCCCTAGGGCACTCTCTGTAGGAACCCTCCTCTTCCCCACCCGCCAGACCCTCAAATGCAAGAGTGAACTGGTGACTGGCAGGACAGGGAATTCTATCCCCTTGGCCATGATGATTGCTTAGACATGTGCATGTTACCTCAAGCAGACCAATGAGAATTTTCCTTAGAACTGAATAAACGAATGCTGGGACAGAGAGACTCTTTCTCTGGGATCATAGTTGAAAGATTATACAGGCCCAGGGCCTCCATGAGAAATTTTTCTGCCACAAGGAAAGAGACTGTCTAACAATGAAGTCAGCACACAGAAGGACAAAAGAGCTATGAGGGGCATCTGGGTGGCTCAGGTTAAGCAACCAAGTCTTGATTTCGGCTCAGGTCATGATCTCAAGATCATGATGAGATCAAGCCCTTGCATCAGGCTCCATGCTGAGCGTGGAGCCTCTTGGGACTCTCTCTCTCTCCCCCTCTCTCTCTGCCCCTCCCTGACTCACTCGCTTGTACTCTCTCTCAAAACAAATAAATAAACATTTTTTTAAAAAAAGAGCTCTGAGATATAGTAAGAGAGAAGACCCTGAAAAATGCCACTTGAGCCTTTGGATCCAGACATCTGTGAGGTTAGATGTCACTAACATTAGTTTGATCTGAATTTCTGTCACTTGCAACCAATAAAATCCCTTATAATACAAACACAAAGCTATTAAAACCACCACCATAGAATTTCCTTGCTCTACCATAGAATTTCCTTGTGCTACAATTATCTGAATATTTTCTTAGGTCACAACCTTTTTGAAGACAGCTGGATCCTGTTCTATAATTCTTAATATTCACCACAGCATATAACAAAGTACCTTGCACACGGTAGGTGTTCAAAGGGTAAAGGGTAGATAGATGGGTGAATGGATATATGGATGGATGGACAGAAGGACAGATGGGCAACACTATTTGGAACTGGAGTTCCAAAGGCACTATAGGAAACGGTATCAGGATAGATCTGCCCCTTTCTTTTTCAAAAAAAGTTAAGACATGTCACATATTCCAATTAAGACGCTGAAAATAAATATGCAGCCCTGATCTTACTAACATGAGGTAAAATGAAAAACATAGTAACCGATGCAGGAGAAGATACAGCATCTGTCAGTTGCTTCTACACAGTCCAAAGAAGGAAAAGTGGACATCAAGATATATGGTAAGAGTTGGGGTGCCCATTTTTGGAAAATAAATTTTAGAAATAAAGTAAAATAAGGAAATGCTCTGAGAGAACAGAAAAGGACCAAAGAAAAATAATTTTCAAAGGACCCACATTAACATTGTCCCCTGTTTCATAAAAAAGCAACCTCCAAGATAGAAAGTCATCTTCTGCTCAAAGATCTTGGCTTTCCCTGATATCCAGGGCCTGGCACTTAATAGGTGTGCAGGAAGGATTCATTCCCTTCTCTTGTTCTACTACACTAGGAGGAAACACTTCTCAGACTCCAACCTAACGCTCAAAGAATTTTCAACATCAAGATTTTTTATGAAATGTTTCAAAATCATCACAATTTTGATTATTTAAGTTATTCAACTAACATTTTCAATAGAGACCACAGTGACCCCCCCCTTCTTCTAAATTATCTCCCAGCAAGAACTTTATTCCAGAGACCCCTAAATATTAATGCTTCCTTCATGCAACTGGCAGCAAAAAGGGCAGATAACATGGGCCAGGTTTCCTTTGCAGTCACAGCCAGGACTTCCAGAGAAGCTTATTCCTGTCTTACAGCTGAGCTAGCATGGTGCTGTCACTGTTCTGAAATCATCTACGAGTTTTTCATCCCTTGGAGGGATCATCATCACTGTATCTCTCATGCTGATGACAGGGGCCTAACATGCAATAGGTATTTAGTCAACATCCGTGGCACAAAGCATTTATCTTTAACTTTTCTTAAAGTTATCGATGGCCTTTGTGTTTTTCAATTTCATTTTTCATCAGATTTTTAATTGATAAACTCCCTGGTTGTAGTCAGTAAAATACAACGGGCTAGTATAAATTAGAATGGAAGGCATAGAAGAAAAAAAAAAAAAAAAAACCCAAGGGCGGAGATATCAACAGAGGTAGGGATTAGGGTTCAAAATGCATATGCTTATTAGAAAAGGGCTTGTTAGAAAAGTGAGTCTAAGCTTTCCAGTCACTGACACTCAAGAAAAGAAAGAAAAGGAAATAAATTTCATCAGTGGTAAATTCAGTGTTTGTGAGATGAAAATATGCCAGACATTAGGCAAAGCATAACAGTTCTTCGATCTAAGACCAGACAGGAGATTTTGCGGAAAACCATCAAACGTACCATGTGAAATTATTTAAAAAAAAAAAAATGGTCATTAGAGAACACTAGAGAATACTCTTCCACTGTAGGAGGCAGGAATGCCTTGGATAAATCTGGAATATTTCTCCCAGTCAGAATGGAAAAACCAACAGATGAGCTGTATTAAAAGGTGGTTAAGTGCCCACCAGATGCCAACAGCTACCCTTTGTAAGACATCATCTGCCGAGATGACCGCAACACAGCTGCTGGCTATACACCGCTCATCGACTCTAGCCCTCAAGAAACTCTCCTCAGCTTCCTCCCCGTGAGGAATCTCAGGGTTAGAATGGGAACCAGCCCAGGTAGTATCAGACAATTCACAGAGGGGAAGCCTCAGTGGCCAAGAAACAGATGACAAACTGCTCACCCCACAAGGAACTCAAATCAAAACAAGGACATAGCACTCCTCTCCCACTAAATGGACGTGTTTCAAGGGTGACGACATAAAGCATTTCTAAGGATGTGGGGGATTTTTCTTACACTGTCGGAGGGAGTGTGAATTGGTACAACCGCCCTGAAGAGCAATTTATTCTGGAAGATGATACATCAGCCCACTTTACAACCCAGTAATCCTACTTCCAGGTGTATACCTGGAAGAAATTTGCACACAGCCACACACAGAGACATCTGCAAGAATATTCGCTGTAATACAGTCAGAACTCAAAATCAGAAACAAGCCAAGTGTCCATCAATTATGAAACAGAAAACAACCAGAGGGGAAGTGGGTGGGGCATGGGGAAAACAGGTGATGGGGATTCAGGAGTGCACTTGCTGCGATGTGCACCGGGTGATGTATGAAGTTTTGAATCACTATATTGTACACCCGAAATTAATATTACACAGTATGTTAACTACACTGGAATTAATTTTTTTTTTAATTTAAGTTTATTTATTTTGAGAGAGTGTGTATGTGCACAAGCAGGGGAAGGGCAGAGAAGGAGGGAGAGAGAAAGAATCCCAAGCAGGCTCTGCACTGTCAGCACAGAGCCCAATTCAGGGCCCAAACTCACGGAACAGGAGATCATTACCTGAGCCAAAATCAAGTGCCAGATGCTTAACTACCGAGCCACCCAGACACCCCAAAACTTTTTTAAATTTTTTAAAAAGAAACAAACAAAAAAATAAGGTTTAAAGTTGGATTGGACCAGATCTTCGTGAGTAGAAAGAGATATTCACACTGAGAAGGCAAAATTAGCAAAGTTGCACACGGATATGTACATATATAACAATTTATGTAAACTTTAAAAAATACACAGAAAACAACACCACCTAATGCTCACAGTCAAGGATATCTGTTACAAAGTACTTTTATGTCATTATACATTTTTGAAATATATTTCTATATATATTGATGAAGAAAACAGAAAGAAGGAAGGAAGGGAGGAAGGAAGGAAAGGAAAAACAGACAGAGAAAGCCATACAAGTGAAGTGACTACAGGGAAGCTGGACCTGGGGACTTCGGGGTTATCAGGTGGTCAAATACACCCGGGCTCAAGTTCCTGGTTCCCTGGACCACGGAAAAGGCCAGCAGCCTGAAAGCCTTCTGTTCCCTGCCCCAGAGCCCTGGACAGCAGCCAGCAGATTAAGGAGGACATTGGGCTGCCCCCTACTGGTGATCTCCATGTGCCTCCCACAGGATACTGGCCACACCAGGCCTTTTGAGTTCTCCCAACTCACTGGACCCGTCAGAAAAGCAGCAGCTGCTCAGACCAACCCAGGGTTAGGAAGGAGAGAGAAAGCGCCGGCCAGAGCATACAACCGGAGGATGTGCCTACAGGCCAGGCTTTCCCATCTCTCCAAAGTGCCGTGAAACTCTAGGGGCCCTTGACGGAGTCCAATTTTGCTTAAGAAAGCACATCTCCATGAGGGGTTCCGTTCCCCATGAAGCAGTGAAGCAGGCCCCCCATTTTGGCACAAGCCTTTCTCAGGAGCTTTCTCTCCCGAAAAACTGCTAACTCCTCTGATCTCTGACCTCCTCTGACCTCTGTTCTGGAAAGGTTAGGCCCCAGGGGTTTTAAGGCATAAGACCTTGCCCCTGAGCGCATGTCCCAGCATCTATGGAATCTCTTGTGAGTTTAGCAGAGCTTTGTTTCTTCGTGGAAAACTAAGCTTCTGTGGCCCTAACCTTCAGACCCTGCCTTCATTCTCTTTTATTTAGGCAAGTCCCCAGCCTTTGGATGGTAACGAAGGGACTTGATGGGTTTGGATTTCTTAAATTCGGTACTCCTTAAGAATTTCTCCATTTACCAACTCGGCCTCCCAGCCCCTGTGGCCCACCCCTCCATCAGCGATCTGTCTAGAAACCACCGTTGGCCTTCAACCCTCCTGTTTTGCCCAAATATGCCTTCCTTCTTTCTTGCATCTACATATTATGTACTTTCTTATATCTACATATTATGTACATATTAATGTACATCTACTTCATATTACGAAGGTTGTTTTAATTGTTGCTCTTCACTTTTGCTACATCCCAGAATCACTATCTATTGTCCTAAAAGCTGAATCACATATTCAAGGGGCTTCTCAGTGAATTCACCCAAATCGATTCTGGGACCCTCCATTATCTGGAATACTGCTTGATTCCTGGGCAACACCAAAAGGGTTTTTTCTTCTCAATCAGAACATTTTTATTCAAACAGTTGGCAAGTATTTCTTTTTCTTTTCTTTATTTTTTAGCATTTATTGTATTTCTTAACTTTGTAATTAAGAATTAGAATGAAGGTTCTCTTTGCACCCACACATATATTTTTCTCTTAGCCTATCTGACTCCCCCACTGGCTGTTAAACTCCTTGGAGGGAAGGGTCTTTTTCGTGTCACTTCCTGTCCACTTCCTAGCACAGAGCTGATGCTCCAGGATGTCACAGGCTTAAAGCAATCAAACATATCCCCGGGTCCTCCACTTGGAGCTGTTATTATCCCATTGGAAAGACCAGACACAGATACATGTGTGATAACAGAAAATGACCGTGTAGAAAATAAACAAAGTAAAGACAACAACAGAGGAGGGCAGAGAGCCAACTTGGAAAGCAAAAATTGTCCGACCCAGAAGCAAATTTAGATTGCAAGCATACAACATATTCAAACCAACTAATTTTTTTAGTGACAAAAACCAATTTCCCTCAGAAGATGAGCATTTATTTGCCACTGACCCCCTGAGGCTCAAGAATGTTAAGACTAGAAATGACCTCCAAGAATCTTCAGATCCAATGGTCCTTGACCCTGAAGGAGGGTCCTTAACCCTGAAGGAGGAGATGCTCCCTGGGGGACAGTGCCCGCTGCCACAGTATTTGGAGAGAAGGGGAAAGAAGGGTCCACGCAGAAGCACAGGCACCCATACTGAGAGGGCACAGTGGAAGGAGCTACAAGATGTGATTGGGCAGGTCAGCAGAGGCTTCAGTGGAGGTCAGGGCTTGAAGAATGACCAGAAAGTCAAAAGATAAAGAACGTGAACATAAGCAAAGTCCGTGCTCTTTGCCATTTTACTCTGTATTGCCACCAAAGCTGCTCCAGTCTCAACTTGACATCCAGGACCTTCGCTCAGACATTTTCTGGAAGGTAAAGAATTTCCTCTCCTAATGCTTAACAAGAAGCTTATGGGAGGTTTTTTGAAATAGAAGAGAGGAGAGATAACTTTAGGGAAAATTCACAGAAACATTTCTGAATTACAGGTTCCTGGAAAAGGTACTCATCCTATCTTTTAAAAGATTTCACGTTGGCTTGAACAGCCTATCAAATAATTTCTACAGGTAATCTTCCAGAGTAACAAAGAGTGCTTTTAACACGTCTTGCCTTCATGTGTATTAGCTTAACAGCAGTATTGCTCAAAAGTGAAATTTCCCTATAGCCAGGACTTTATTGCCTGAACCGTACTCTGGCAATAAATACATCAGAAAGAAATAGCAACAGCAGTGAATATTTCTAATGGCCACTCTTCCCAACCTCTTCCTGCTATGCTGGCCACCCTCCACCACTACCAAATAAGTGAGTAAATAAGCTAATAAAAGTAGAACTGAAACTGCCCCCATGAGATTGCCATACGCACCCAGGCTTCCAGCTGGTGGGGCACTTCAACTCTGATGGGATCCTCTCTGCTGTAAGATTTTTTTTCATAAGGAACATAATCTGTAAAAAATACTGCCCCTGGTTCCCCGGGCTCACAGCTAGGCAGCTTCCATTTTTCAGCAAAAATGCTGAGAGTTTTGAAAGTCAATCCCTGAGCAGGTGCAAATGATACTCTGATGCACCAGAGCAAGACTCCAGATAGGACTGTCCTAATCTATTCTTACGAGAACGGACCCACGGATTGGTCCATTCTTATGAGAGGGTGCATCACCCCAACTGCGAAGACATGAATGCAGAGAACACCAAATGAGCACGCTCCAAACCCGAATTCGAATGGCCTACTAGTGCACACTGTTTGGTATTAGCACTTCCAGCTTCTTCTTGGCCATGGTCATAGAAGGAGCATCAGTAATTCCCTCGGGTAGAGTGCTATGTGCCAGGCACTGGGGTACCCAAGGATTAAGGGTACCCCTTAACACAGCAACACTACCAGGAAAGCACCATGATTGCGTCCACTTTTCAGAAGAGGAAACTGAGGCAAAACCATTCCAGGTCCCTTCGCCAAGGTCACACTGCTGCCAAAACAGGATGGGAACCCGGACCTACCCACCTCTGAACTCCGAGCTCACGGCCACTAAACCACACCATTAGGACTTGGACGTGTAAATCCAGCACCCTCGGTACAGAATAGTTTCTACAGAAACCATTTCTACAAAGTGCACCTTCCCAGATAATCCTGACCTAAAAACAATAGTCAATGGAAAGGAATGAGGACATTTTACAGGATGCTCTCCTGCCCTGTATGCACACAGAGCTGTAACAGGAGATACATGAAAAATCTTCAGATTCTTCCACAATGCCAAGCTCTGAGAACTGCAGTTTCCTAGAATAGCCCAACTGCCCTGGGAATTTAATAATTCAAGTGCCTGGAAAATAATAAGTGGTGTGGTATGAGGGATAAACACACCCCGCTAGCTTCATCTCTTACGAGCTCTACGACCTGGGGCAAGTCCCTACTCTTCAGCCTCCTTGTCTGTCAGGATGTTGGGGAAATTAGGACACCCCATCCAGTGAGGGCATCTGAGGTCCCATATGGGGACTTCGATTAATGCTAGTTACGAGTAACAATGAGAAGACTGAGGTTCAAGGCGTGGCCAGGTCACTAACCAGCTCCTGAGCTTAAGCTCACCCTGCCTCCAGTGCCCACGCCTGTGGAAGAGGACATTTGGAGTCGGTAAGGTCTCAGCTCCCTTCAGCACACACATTATAAGAAAACTGCAGCAAAATATGATGAAGAAAAAAATTACAGTCTGAGTTTCTCTCAGAGTATCTCTACAGCATTTTCCTCATCTATTCCTCTGTCAACAAGGTGGTTACCGACAAGGAACACCACAATTTATGACCAGAAAAGTTGATTATGAAAAAAAAAAAAAACCTTAAAGTTGGCTTTCTCTATAAAATATATTGATCTTCTCCCCAGAAAACACTGGACTTATTAGCATAGCCTTCCACATAGTCTCAGGACTGGACCCCCGCCTACAAATTACGTGACACGTAAGCCTTATAAGCTGACCAGAAGTCACAACAATTGCATGTGGTCTAGATCTACATCCAGTCAACACAGGGTCCTTAATTTTTTTACTTTTCTTATCAGCCACCAACTTTGCAAAAAGGGAAGATTTCCCATTTTACAATTCTGAATTTCCACATTCTCTTAAAAAAAAAACAAAACAAAACAGAAACAAAGCTGAAGGTCTGCCAAACTGGACTAGCATTTCTTCCTGGCAACAGTCAAGACGAGCTGAGGAACACTGTCCCTGGAGGTTTGGGGCACATGTCCAGTCGGTCACATTCCCAACTGATCTTGGCAATTTCACTGGCCTATGGAAAGATCATATGACACCTGACTTAATTCTTGCTTGTAATCTCCACTGAGATGTCAGGGCTCCAACTGCTCTCCTGCGTTGACAGGGCATCTCCACGCTTAGACATCCCTACAAGGAGTCTCATCAAATAACATGACACAGAGGCCACAATAGAAGTACCTCACTTTTTAAAAAGAGTTACTTCTACCTATTCTGGAAGCTTTAGAAACTTCCTCTGTTGTTAAAAACTAAAATGGATACAAACATAGCCACGTATGATTTTATACTTGGTAGAGTGGTAAATACAATCCCCAGGAGAAGCAAGGGATGTGTTTTTTCCATATATATATATTTTTTTCCTTCCAACTAATTTAATTTCTAATGTATATTCCCCATTGGGTCTCAGAGCTCTGGAGTAGTCACATCAACGTACCACAGTAAATGGAAAGACAAGTAACTAAACGGGTACGGTGACATAGTGTCACCATATTAAATGAAGAGCCCCAGGATGGATATGGTCCAATAGCCAGAAAGAGGCTTAAGTGATAGTTAAGCTAAAATTTTTTAGGGGGTGGGTAACGTCTAACGTCGGCCAATGTGAAACCACCAGACCCTCGAGTCAGCTCACCGGGGGGCCTGGGCTGCACTCTGCAGCTAATTCATCCTGGCAAACCCTCAAGGAGCCATCCCCCTTGGGGATGGGGGCACCCCAGGACCCTGAGCGGACTTGTCCTCTGGCTGGGAAGCCTTCTGGTCACACCTGCTCCTAACAACTTCTCGACTAAAACCATCTCTGCTGTGCTCTGTGGGAGGAATTCTGAGGTCTCAATGGAGCATCTAACCACGTTCTGGGGCCTTCAAAGGGCTAGTTCCCTGGCAGGCCTGGATGTGCCTGCTGGTACCTCCCCAGCTCATCTTCATCCACGGACAGGGTGGCTTCCACCTGGATGAGCACGTAGGCCAGGCTGCTCCGTCTGTAAAAGGATGTCAGCCCCACCATCTGTTTGTCTGGTTTCCAAAGAGAATGGATCTGGCCTTAACCAGTACCAGAGATTAAAATTCTCCAGGCTCTGGTCAGAGGGGACAACTTCAAATCATCTGCAATCCAGCTTCTAGCAAAGCCTGGTTCAGCAAAGGGTACTGGGGATGGAGACTGAACTCTTGCATTGTATCAGTTTTATAATTACAGCACTGGCATATTAAATTGGCGGGCCACGTTAGCTTCCTTGCAGAATTACGCCCTTGTCACCTCCAGCTCCCCCCCACCCCCCAACCGCCACTGGCTTCCTCAGTAAGGAGAAAATGAAATCTACTGATGCATTTTTCATAATAGCTGCAAATCACATCATTCATTGTCCTTGCAAAAGAAAATTCCTTTCAGGACATAGTGCCAGACAAAGCTATGTTCCTGTGGAATTAGTAGGCATTCTCTTTACCAATAATGAGCTTCTCCTTTCACAGCCAGGAAGCTGAGAACAAACGTTGCACTCGGCTACGGCAACCATGTCAACCATTTGAGTTAGTTGGGAGTCCCAGCCCCTATTTTCACTCTTTATCCCCTCCCTCTCATTTTTACCTTATTGTCCTTACGGTGTAAAATAATTATCGCCGGTTATTCAACTACTGATGACAAAGTGAATAATTGTGATATTTGTAACATTTCGTTTACTGCAAATCAGGTGGCCACTAGGACCAATAGGACAAGACTTACACAATTACCATAGAGTCATTTCAAGAGATCAATTAGTAAATAATTGCCTCCCCGGGTTGTTTTTAGGTTTCAGAATGACTGTTCACAAAATCTTCCTGCAACTCCAATCCAACACATAAATTATCTTGTATTAAAAAAAAAAAAAAAAGTCTTTTCCTCTTTCCCAGTTATTCCGGGCCAACCAATGTTTCATTTATGACTCGTGAAGAAGAACTTCCAATGATTAGCCCAGGCCTTAAGAATTTTAAGAAGTGTTCAAGTCAGCACTAATCACAACAGAACACAGTTCTGAAAGCTCTTGGCCTCGGGGCAGGTCAAATCATGCCATACGAAGAGCATTTTTGGAACTAATATTACTGCTCCAGCTTTAGGACACATCAAGCACGGCACCGAGAAAAATGAGCATCAGGCATCACATCAAGAAAAGAGAATGTTTCAAGTGGTAAAATTTTAGGATCTCTGTGTGAAGGTCTGTTTTGATTTTGGCACAATTTTTCATCCAACATTTATAGGCTGTGGGAGTAAGGAGAGCAACACTTCCAATTTTATCTTCACTAGTTTCACTTCGCATGTTAACCTTTAGTCCATTTTTATAGAAGGTTAGAGATTACTTTCTTTGGAGTGAAACTACAAAGATGCTGCTTTTCTGAAAAGGGATCCCAGTCATAAGTGGCTGTGTAAGGCGGCAATAAAGAGAAGCTATTTTGCAGAAAGGAAGTGTGAGTGCATCTAAAAATCCCAAACAAATCTCTCATAAAAACTTTAATCCAAGGATGGTATCACCATTCAAAAGGATGGATATTTCTGAGGTACCTACGGTAGTCAAATTCACAAGAGACCAAAAGCACAAAGGAGGTTGCCTGGAGCTGCAGGGGCGGGGGAGGGGGGGGGTCGACGGGGTGGGAGTTTGTTTAATGGGTACAGAGTTACAGTTTTGCAAAAGAAAAGGGTTTCGGAGATGGACAGGGTAATGGTTGTGCAACCTTGCGAATGAACTTATGCCACTGAAATATACCTGTCAAAAAATGGTTACCATAGTAAATTTCATGTTAGGTGGATTTCCCCACAAGTTTTCAAAAGACATTTTGTAAAGGCTTTACAATTAAAGAATAAGAGAGACAGTTAAAAGAGAAAACGAATTACAAACTAACTGATAACCTCCAGACTCCAGGGGGGCCTGTTACAAACAGCCTAATACATAAAATGGACCAAGACTCTGCAACAAAACAAAGTTGCAGAACAAAGACCATGACCTGAATGACCTGTGGCTAAAACTGACCAGGGATTGCTCCGCACACAAATGGTCAATGTCCCAATCAGCTGAGTGCGCCAGGTCCCACACAGGAGAGTAATAGCAAACAAGCAAAAGGGAACCAACGCCCTTTCACCTCTGCCCTCTTAACCCCAGTGCCTGCCCAGTTCCCCCCCACCCCCACCCCACCAGGGCAGATTTTCCTAC